ATTTGGCCTCGTCGCGCCAGCCGCCGCCGCAGAGATTTCTTTCGTCCCCGCTACTGTACCGTGTAGGTAATGTAATCGGGCCCCACCGCACGCCCGCGTTCCCCGGCGGAGCCAGTAGTTGTAAGCTACTCCGCTTTGTGAGCGCTCTACCGGCTGCAGTTCTTCTCGGATCATCTTCACATTTCGCATGAAGGTGCGTTATCGTAAACCGAAGACGCCAATCGTTTTTTTGGTGTGGGCGGAGTCATCGTTGCCATGGTAACAACATTTTTTGTCGAAATATTCTAGAACCTGTACTTCTGCAGTTTTTACCCGATTGTCATGAAAATTTGGCACACAGGACCAAGATATACATATATATATATATATATATATATATATATATATATATATATATAGGACATTGTTATATCGGCCCTGTGCGCCAAATTCCATGACAATCGGTAAAAACAGCACAAGTTACAGTTCTAGCAATATTTCACAAAAAATGTTGTTACCATGGCAACGATGACTCCGCCCACACAAAAACGATTGGCGTCTTCGCTTTACCATAACGCACCTTCATGCCAAATTTGAAGATGATCCGAGATCGGGTAAAAACTGCAAAAGCTAAAGGAAAATATTTAAAAAAAGAAGAAAGGGCAAAAAAAAGAAAAAAAGAAAGGTTTTTAAAGGAAAGGTTTTATTTCACCTTTACCTTGACCTTGATCATATTTCCCTTCCGCTCTCTAACTCAGCCCCTAATTGACCTAGCGCGACCAAACTTGGTATGCTTGAACATCTTGGGGAGAAGATCTGTCGCATACCAAAACCACCACTGCCCTTGACCTTAGTTTGACTTGACCGTCGACTTACATTTCTTCTTCGCCTCCTAGGGTAACCAGATTCCATATACTTGCACATCTGAGGCCAGACCAGTTGTCTAACAAACCTTTGTCTTTGTTGACTATATTTAACTTTACCTGCCTTCTACGTCCTTACAGAGATATTCCATTCATACTAGACCACTGGGGATACATGTAGTTGGCGACAACTGTTCGTTTCTAGTTCTTATATCGGCAGTGTTGCAATCGGATCACATGCGCAGGGCACCAGTGCGCGTGTCACACAGGACACGGCTAGCTCTTATATATACTGTGTCACCTTATATAATACATAGTCGCCTCCGAATACGTTCAGCTTGCGATTTGCTAGCGATTGAGTGACCCGATCATACCTAAAAACATAATAATAATAATTTCGGAAATAAACTTAATTATATCTGAACTCTAGAGATAGAGAGAGTATAGTAGATGTGTAAAATTCACTGCATTGCAAGAAAGGCTCGGAGCACGCAAGGAAACCTGTGAACAACGTATGCAGAGCAGCTGATATACTCCACCTGTCGTTCCCGAGGACACTAAACAAAGGTAAAAATGGACTGTCTTCTTTAAATTGCATGCACAAATGCAATCATTCGTCGAATCTTTGATTCACGAGCGTTCTAGGCGCAAGCGCGAGCATGTACCCACTAGGTATTATAGGCGCTTAATTATACAAAGTACGTCATTGACGCGAAAACATTTCGAAAACAAAACGGTTATCCATCGATAGGGATAGTTGGCGAATTTTCTCGACACTATTCCTGTGTACATGGGCTGTCCATTCGTTAACTACTTACTTACTTAACTAAATATTCCCTATAATTCCTTATAATATACTTATATTCTTTACTTATGTTCCATACTTAAACTAAATATAAATGTAGATCGATATTGTGGGTGTTGCCATGCATTACTATCTGTGCGGCAAACAGACATGGCGCATGCGTATTATATGGTATTTTTATTAAGTAATATAAATATTATCAAGGGTTATAGCGACAAATTTGTCATTATTAACCCATGATATTATATATATATATACATAGAGAGAGAGAGGGAGAGATGGAGTTTTGGTCTTGCATTTGCATGGTTTTTTATTTACCAGGCTAGTATCCAAAACAACCAGATACATCGTCGGGAATATCGCCAACGTTGGCGTCGTCGGCATTACGTCTATAACATCATATCTCGTCATCACCTCCGCCAACGACAGCATAGATAACGTCATCACTGGCAAGAATATCATGGACCACATCTTTGGCGCAAATGACAGTTATACCGAGTACAAAATATTGACCGACGTCACTTGCTACAATTTTTCGTTTGGAAATATGACGGAGTCATTCAACGCGACACACGGCGTTATTGGTGGGAATTGGACTACAATATATTTTACCGGACTGCTTGTATTCAGTATTAGTGTTATTGTTGCTAATGGTATTCTTATTGCTGCCATATATCGCCAAAACGATCTAAATGAAGCTAAATATATTTTTATCTCTTGTCTTTCTGCAGCTGATATGGGTATTGGCGCTGTTAGTTTTTGCAATGTTGTGATTATATTGAATAAGTCAGTCAATACTCTTGCTTCCGCAATATACTATATGGTCATGGTTTTCCTGATTCGGTTGGAAGCATGCTGTGTGTTTCCGGAGACATGTACATAATGATTGTGTATTCTCTTGCGCACCCCCAGATCGTGACGACGAGAAGAGCGTATTTTGTGGTTGCTTCAATAATAGCCTACTCTTCTGTGTTTGTCTTTTGTATGGGGATGTTTGGTTTAGAGACGCACACTAGTGTATTGCCATTTCCCATGGGTTCCGTGCCGTACACATTTACTCAACCAACGATAGAAGCCGCAGTCGGGGGATTGTTGATAGTTCCACTTATCATATTAATCTGTCTCTACGGACACTTATTCATCGTCGCACGATCACACGCAGTAAAACTGCGCAATGAAGTGGCACATTTCTCGCGAGAAAACCAAGCCCGTCCCAACGAAAAATATGAAGTAAAAACTATCATTACCATCGTTACTACCACTGGCGTATTTTTTCTTACTTGGGCGCCATACTGGGTACGCAAAGAAGAACCCAGAGTCGTACAGCTTCAGTGTGAATCTCTTTCTTGTATATATATGGCTTATTTGAATAGCGCCGCGAACACTCTATTGTATGGCGGAAGGATTACCCCATTGAGAAATGCAGTAAAGAAAATGTTTGCCTGCCAGAGCAACCGGGTTGCCGCTGTGGTAGAAATAGCATAGATCCGCACTTATCATATTAGCTGACGTAGCCATTGTATAGCTAACGTAGACATTGTATAAGCTAACGTAGACATTGTATAAGCTATAACGTAGACATTGTATAAACTATAACGTAGACATTGTATAAGCCAATGTAGACATTGTATAAGCTAACGTAGACATTGTATAAGCTATAACGTAGACATTGTATAAGCCAATGTAGACATTGTATAAGCTAACGAAGACATTGTATAAGCTAACGTAGACATTGTATTAGCTAACGTAAACATTGTATAAGCTATAACGTAGACATTGTATAAGCCAACATAGACATTGTATAAGCTATAACGTAGACATTGTATAAGCTAACGTAGACATTGTATAAGCTATAACGTAGACATTGTATAAGTTATAACGTAGACATTGTATAAGCTATAACGTAGGCATTGTATAAGCTATAACGTAGACATTGTATAAGCTATAACGTAGACATTGTATAAGCTAACGTAGACATTGTATAAGCTATAACGTAGACATTGTATAAGCTAACGTAGACATTGTATAAGCTATAACGTAGACATTGTATAAGCTAACGTAGACATTGTATTGTACTGTGAAAGGTTGAAGACTCTGTGTAGGTTTCTGTAGCTTCGACAGCGTAGACTTGTAGCAACCGTAGATTGTAGCAAATGCAGAATAGCAGCGTATGCAGGGTAGCTTGTGACCACCAGTAGAGCTAGATGACGTAGTCGCAGATTCGTTTTTTTGAACTAGGACTTTATTAGTACACGAACACATACAAAATATATAATACGGCAACCTAGGTTGGTGACCGTGCGTAGGTCCCGTGACCCGTCATCTCCGTTTTCGTCTATATCTCTACATCGTCATATCTCCTCTGGGTAGGTAACTATCTACATCGTATATGACTCACGTAATAACTCCCTCTACGTCTCCTGGGTAGGTACTCTCTAACTCTTTGTCCGAGCGTGTCTATTTATACGCTTCTAAAAACAGCTCGACGACATTTGAATCCGACCGGTTTTTCGTCATTACCCTCGGACCTTGGCGGAGCTAGATAAACAACAACGAACCACCAGGCCAGAACACATGCCTATTAGTCGCACAGCCTCGTCTGGCTAAAAGCGCCACTGGTTAATTAGAACGCAATGTACAATACAACAATTGTATAAGCTATAACGTAGACATTGTATAAGCCAACGTAGACATTGTATAAGCTAACGTAGACATTGTATAAACTAACGTACGTAGACATTGTATAAGCTATAACGTAGACATTGTATAAGCTAACGTAGACATTGTATAAGCTATAACGTAGACATTGTATAAGCTAACGTAGACATTGTATAAGCTAACGTAGACATTGTATAAGCTAACGAAGACATTGTATAAGCTAATGTAGGCATTGTATAAGCTAACGTAGACATTGTATAAGTTAACGTAGACATTGTATAAAATAACGTAGACATTGTATAAGCTAACGTAGACATTGTATAAGTTAACGTAGACATTGTATAGAATAACGTAGACATTGTATAAGCTAACGTAGACATTGTATAAGCTGACGTAGCCATTGTATAAGCTAATGTAGAT